AGAGGGGGACCGGGGATTTCCGAGTCTCTTCGGGCTCCGAGGTACGATTGATCGGGTCATCGTCGATCGGCATTGCAAGGGCGACATTGCAAGGGCGACATTGCTCGTTCGGATGCTTCGTGGCGACGAAGCGGAAAACGGGAAGATTTCGTTTTATCGCTTTTACCACCTTGACCGCCATTTTGCATATTTTTTTCTCCGCTCCCGAGGAATCCAGTTGGGAAACCCGAATGCGATCGGCGATGGATTGGTCTTCCATCGATTTTTCGTGAGTTCCGCCTCGGAAAATGGCACGTATGGATAATTTAAAAAAAAACTTGCAAAATATTAACAACGTGGCGCGATAAAACAAGAGGAAAGGAAAAAGATGACTTCCGATTTCTCGCCCTTGCAGCTCACGCTCACGCTCACGCGGGAGCTGCGAGATTCGCACACGTCCTTCGCCTGCAACGATACGTACTTTTCGGAGATTCCGGAGTCCGTGCCTTTCGTGCTCATTCGGTACTGAAAGTACCTTGCACGGTTTGCAACCTGATAGATGCTCGCCAGAATACAGGGCGTTTCAAAAGTAACATTTTTGCTGGCTCTTTCAGGCCGGAGATCGCACGAAGAAACGCCGATCGGGGAGTAACGAGATTTAATTAATTAATTGTATTAATTTTTAAATATTAATCATGCTACTCGTCCCAGCACAAAATCAAAGCCTTAATATCCGGACGCATCACGAAGGCAAGTCGCCGGACTCTCGGAAGTTTCCGGTCGCTTCATCTGACAGCGTCCAGTCGACGAAGAGAAAAAAATGCGCCGGATGGAGACAAGGGCCCTGCGAATCGAATTTCTCCGGAACATCCGAAAAGAAGCAGAAAATTAATACAATTAATTAATAAAAATAATAATAATGAATACGGTGCTTTTCAAACACGAAAAAAAAAAACATTTAATCACCGATGAAGCGTCGAGGAATGACCGAGGCAACCGCGGAGCCCCGAGACCGAACGAGTCCCGCGATCGCGGGATGGAATTTCTCGAGCGAGTCGAGATGCCACATCCGGCAACCCTGCGCGTAGACGCTGGCTTCCTCGGTCGAGGATGCAGTGATGCCCGGTACCTTCCAGATCTGGAAGTACTTTCGGTACGGTACTTCCGATCTGGAAGTACGATGTATGGTTTTGGAGAACCGAAAATACCGAGATGGGAAAAAAAACGGCGCACGCTTGTACTGTCCTGGTCGAGTACCAAAAGTACTACAAATAAGCACTAGTTATTTAAATCACACTTATTTAAATCCAGAGTAAAAACTACCGAACTTATTTCAAGGAATGATGTTGGACTCGCCCAGAGTACAAAAACGTGCAGGAAAAATTCGAATTTGATAATTATCTCCTCGGAATTGAAACCGAACCGCGTTCAAATACCGTACAGTGTCCCAAAATAAATGGTGCATTTTGAAAAATGTATTTCTCGCTGAGTAACGCAGACAGAAAAACAAGGGCTTTCACGATTGCATGAAGCACAGTCCAAAGTTGTTTTTTTTTTCGTTCACGATTGTTCGTCGGTAACTTGAAGACGGTCACGTAAAACGTCGAGCCGATATTCGACACGAGACGAAAAAGCGAAGAGAAACCCAAAGCAGGCCGATCGGACTCCACCTTCGTGTCGTGGGGGCATGTCGTCGAGGGTGTCGTGGGGGCATGTCGTCGAGGGTGTCGTCCTCGGAACCGAAGTGTCGGATGTCGACGAACTCCGGATCTGCGATGCGCTCGCCGACGCGTTGGCGCGAACTCGAACGTCGGCTCGATCGACGGTGCCCGTGTCGAAGTCGAGCGAGGAGCGATTGCGAATTAAAAAAAAAAAAAACTTGGCAGTCTGCTCTCTCGACGGTCGAAAACGGGAGGCCGGCGATTTCTGCATCACGGATTTTTTGAGGCTGGGGTGCTGGCTCGCCTTCAGCTCGAATCGCACGATCGTTCTCGAGAAAAGCGAAAGAAACGGGAGAAGAGTCGCTCATCCTTACATGCAATGCACATCATGCACATCCTTACATGCAGATCTTTACATGCACATCCTACACGTTTCGACTGAGGGCAGCCCCAGAGCAGCCCTGGGATTCACCGGGTGAGTCCGAAGGCGCTTTTCGCAGCAGGTGAAAGTCACTTTCGACCATCCCAGGACCATCCCGGGAAATTATGGCAATTATTGCCTCCTCGACTTCAAACTTCGAGGCGATTGCAGGGGAACGGCGAAACGTTCTTCGTCTCTTCTCGAGGTCGTTTTTCCATCTGAGAACCGATTTGGTCGATCGTTGCGCAATTTCTCGTCGGAGGCAATCTCGAGGCTCGACGGTCGAAAATTCCGACGAGTTTTTCCGGTGAATTTTGTTCCGTTCACTGGTTTTGCCTTTCCAGTTTTAGTTACTTCGAGTTCGTGGCCGCACGAAGTGAAATGCGATCATTCGCTCGTTATCGTTTCAGGAATCTATGCAAAGTCGGTTGATTTTTTTTTCGCATGACTGCATTTCGCAAACGGTGCAAAAAACAAGCTGCGGGGTCGCTGAACATCCTCAACAGCAGATATCTTATCTTAGGCCTAATTGAACCAACTCACGATTGAGCGCACAGCCAACAACCAACTCGGACGAGGAACGGCGAACGAAGATCGTCACTCTGCACACATAGTCACAACTGAAGTCGTTGGCGTGAGATATCGAACAGGCGTCGAGAGAAGCTCGTGTGTTTATAAGGGGGCTTAACGGCACCATTCACCGCCCAGATGATCTTCGGTGGTCCGGGGTGCAGGCTTCAAACCTGTAGGTGATTCACGTCACAGTGGTTCGATTCCACCTTCTGGGCGAGGATTGTGGAAACGTTTTTCAGGCGGTTTGCACCGTTGCGAACTTTTTGCAGCGATACGGAGACGATGAAAACTTGAATGCGATCGTAAACGAAGAGGTGGGAGAGCCGTAGATGGACCTCCGAAACGTGAGCAGTGAGTGACTCCTAGGGCGATAGATGGCGAGCACCCTGCAGGGATCAAACTCTGGCGACATCTACCTTCTGTTTCTGCGAACTGGAGGTTCATGCAAAGCACGACAGATCGTGCCTCCCTCCACTGTCCCGCGTGTGGGATAACGCAGCATGCACACGTGCAACGTGTAGGTCTAATGTGTAACATTAGTTTAGCTTGGATAGGTGTGAATGCGGCTTTCGTGATTTGTATGTGCGCATCATTATCTCGACAGTTTCGATTCCGAATTTCTATAGGGCCCTATGTTCAGACCTGTTAGGTTGCCGGTTCAATCTGGAATCATCGCATGGGCTATTGTTCGGTCTCAAATTAGTACGGGTGGAGTCCATCCGGATGTCGTTAGCCTGGTCTATAGCATTATAGAAGCCGTTGGCTGTTTCGTGGAGACCATAAGTCCATTGTATACCAGGCCAATTTTTTTTCTTAGGCGAAGAATTACAGGACGATCCATAGTGCAACATGAAAAGGTGTAATGTAGGCCTATGAGTCTAACTGCAGCCTCCAGCTCAATTTTGATCATTTTCAGTGGGATAACCAAATCAGCCATTAATAGTTGACTACAATCTGATGTTATTGAAGGGTCACATGAGTTGAGTCCATTAGTGAGTACAAAAATTATGGACTCTCCCATTGGTTGGAGTTACTGAAAGGCCCAGGAATGAGTCCTTGTGAAGTCCACAGAAACTGAAGCTGCAATGGTTCCAAGGTCACTAGACCTGCTTCTGTTTGTTTCTCTGAGGTCTGAGGAATAGAGTGCTAGGGGGGTAGTAGTGTTGAGGGGGAATAGGCCTGCATGAGCATTCCATCATTAATAGAAAATCAATCTTTTCACACTATAGTCTTTTCATTTCTGAACATTAAAAAAATTTGAGGGTGAAAGAAAAATATTAACCTTGTTATAAGTAATGAGTAAGGATTGATAACTACCCAATATATTGGAAATTGTGCAATTGCCAGCAGGTGTACTAAAAACATACATTTACTTTGCCTTTTCATAAGAATTGAAGAGTGTTGGGCTTGCTGTCACATCTTGAGACTAGAAATTTGCAAATGCATGTAGTAGGGAGGTCCAGGCCTACTCTCAGAGTTTCATACATCATATGCTCCTTAGATTGAGGATCATGAGCCAATGTGCACCATTGTCACTGATAAACAAACAGTATAATTATATTGTATGTGAATGAGTTGGGAGAATTAATTTTCCTAAAAAAATTGTTAATTAATGCTTTCCCTGGCAGGGATATCCTAACGTTACCGGGATCTCCACTTGAATTCGAGTGGACACCAGGGAAAGGGTTAAGATGACACATTACTGATCTAAGGTATTTTTCTTGCTTTCATCAGAGATGCTTTCACCCAAGAAAATGGATATATATTTTGTTAGGCTGGTACGTAGCAGTGCAAGCCCTGAATCCAATGCTCAGACACTGTTGTATTAGAACTATGAGGCATCTACTTCACACAAGTTCTTGACTTGTTTTCACACATTGCCAAAGAGCAGTGAATAGCCTGCTGAAGAGGCAGTCTTGTTGGATCAGCAATCCCTAATTTGATATTTATTCCCAATCTTCTTCATGTTTATTCCTTTGAATCTTATCTCTCAAAATTAACCCTAGTTGAGCAGATAAGTTTAGGTCATGTTTTTAAATGAAAAGTTTCAATTGTGCATTGATGAATGAAGAGAAAAAATGCAATCTGCCACCTTTGCCACTTCTTGAAATATTTGTATGTGAGCACAGACTGTCTCTTTCTTCACATAATACATTTATAACACCAGAAGCATGAGGTAGAGTTCCAGATTTCAAGTCAGTTTCCTTGAAAAGTTACAAATCTGAAAATCTGCTTTCTCTTTTGGCCATAACAAGAGGGTCCTATGAACTCATGGTCTCCAAGATAGGATACATTTAGCCTGATATTAAAATTGGACTCTGTCTTTCTTTTAATTTTATCACAGGTAATCCCTTGTTCCATTGGAAATGGAGGTAATTATAGGATCATATGAAGAATTCATTTTTGGGTACAAGGTCAAAGAGAAAAATGGAAAATTGCAGTTTGTCCTTTCCTTCACAAATCACTCACATTGTGGCAGCATACGATCTATTGCTGCTACAAAGACATTCTTGGCCTCTGGAAGCACTGATGAGAGCATTCATCTCTTCAACCTCGAGAAGCGGTCTGAATTCGGATCACTGATGGAGCACAATGGTACTGTCAACTGTCTCTGCTTTCATGGAAATCACATGGTCAGTGGAGGTGAGGATGGTACAATTTGTGTGTGGAATACCAAACAGTGGACACTGGAAGCAAAACTCTTACCATCTCATAAAGATGGTGTTATCTCCTTCAGCATCCATCCTTCTGGGAAATTGGGATTATCAGTGGGGAAGGATATGACAATGAGGACTTGGAATTTGATTAGAGGACGATCAGCTTATATCACCAATATCAAGGCAGTGGCAGATCATGTAACCTGGTCTCCTGATGGTGAACATTATGCACTTGTGATCAACAAGAAAGTCGACATCTACACTGTTTCAACAGCTAAGGTTGTTTATAGCATACAATGGCCTGTGTCAGTGACCTCAGTGGCATTTATTGATGAGGCAGTAGTTGCTGTGGGAGGAGAGAAGAAATCTATTGAGATACATAGTTTGACAACTAAGACTTGCATCTGCTCCTTTGAAGCTCATGAGAGAAGAGTAAAGGCCTTGAAATATGCAGCACCACAGTGGCTTTTCAGTGCCTCTAGTGATGGATTCATCAAGCTGTGGCACTTGGAAGCATATCAGACTGGAAGAAAACCAGGACTTCTGGCTCAGGTGAACACGACCTGTAGGATCACGTGCATGACTGTACGGGAAACTGGTGATGTCACAGAGTTGGAGAATTTAAAAGCTTGTTTGACTCCAGCTACCAAATGTGAACCAGCCAATGAACACGATGTCAAACTATCACATGAAGACATGACGCCAAGAAAGAAGCTGCATTCAAGCAGACGTGAATCATGGGAAGAAGGGACAGAGGTTTCACCCAGAAATTCCCTCAATGTGACCAATGGAGAGCACAGGAGTAGAAAACGTAAGAAGTCTGTTAGGCTTCTCACACCTTCACAAAAGCGAATGTTGACACTAAGAGGGAGTAGCTCAAGACGAAAGAAAAAGGACATGCAATGATGATTTTCAATAAAGAAACTACTGATGTGCAAGACATTTCAAAACCTTTGATTTCATTCTCATAAAACTCACATTTGCCACAAAATTACCAATAAATATTATTTCAAAAAAATATGAAGCACACATGCTTGAGCATTTCATGAGTGCATAATATTTAACTTCAAAGATTCAGCTGTCAAATGCATAGGGAGTATGAAGCCTACACTACAATTAAAAAAAAAAAAGCAAACTTCAGAAATACTATTTCCAAAGCAAATACTTTATGCCTCAGGGACTAGAAGCAGGTAGAACCACCCTTAACCTTCATGCTGTGTAACATGCTCTTGATGGACTTTTCACATACACCAATATTGATGTCTTTCCAGGTACCAAAATAGCATTAAACTTGTTGCTTGCTTGCAATTTCCTAATGATCACTTCTCAAATTTACCCAATATATCTGGAGAGCTTTTTGGTCAATCAAAAATACTGAAATACAATGGAGGCCTCTGATTTACTAGAAATGCTGATTAATCAGTGGCCTCCTTAGTAACAGATGGTATGGAGACATCAGGTGATGAGAGGACAACCCTGTAAATCACTCCAGCTTTTTCAGTTTTTTTTTTTTTTTTTTTTTTAACAGCAGTGTACTAAACATGCAAGTCTATCAAGTGAAGACTAAAAAGAGAGAAAAGTGAATATTGCCTTGTTTGTCCAGAGATCAGTACTATGACTAGTATTTCCATACTGGCCTCAAGACATATAATGTGCTAAAGTGCTATTCTTTGGGTCATTTTTTAAAACTTCTTGGAAGTATAAATATCACAAACTCAAACTCCAATGCATGCAGAAACGTTTAATATAAATATCACAATGGATTCCCCTAATGCACCTCTATGGAGAGATAAAAACGCCCAACAGAGCTTCCTTCCAATCATTCAGCCTTAGCACTTACTATAGCAGGTCTACCTTTACCATGGGGTCAAAAGCAGTGGACTCTCCAATCTTCTGAGAACTGCAATAGACAAACCAAACATTGCAAGTCTGTCTGTTAAATTCATCAACCTTGCTTTTCTTTAAGAATTTCTCTCTGTACAAATGGATCAGCTTATGGGAAGTTGTTGATGCCCTACTATTTCACAGCACCCCAACTTATCTAACATTCATTAGACCCTACTAGAAAATTTCCCAAATTTACAAACCAAACATCACCTTGTTACCACCTTCAAATCTGTCCCATGTCTGGAAATGCAAGCTCAAAAAAGATCATGTATAGCCTGAAAATACAAGCTCTTAAAGATATTAGGTCCAATACACCCCTTCAAAAAATTTCCTTGCTAGAGTAGATGTCAGCCTGGTAATGAGGATCTATATAAAACACAGACTTACATAGGAGTGGCAACAATCAGGGAACCTGATAGACATTTTTTAAGGCTTTCTTCTGTGTTCCTTCTACCTCCTGGATGTTGTCCTCATGATGAAGTTCCACATCGTGGAAAAATGCTTCCATCGGGGTGAAATCTTTCTCAAATTGTTCCTAGACATTCAAAATAGGTCTGATTTCAAGACTATCTTAACTAGGAGCAGGGTCAATATGAAATGAGAGTGATGTGAGTGAACTCACCCTGTGCTTGATGTAAGAGAGGAAGACATCCCAGCAAACTGTGACAGCATTGACATAGATTACTCTATATGCTCCAGGAACCCACAAGAAGTTGATGTATTGTGTTGGTGGCCATATACACCAGTCAAACTGAAAACGTATATGCAAGATGAGCCCAAAAATTTAAGACAAATCATCTAATGTATTTAACAACCAGATATCTCACCAAGTACACATAGGGAAACTTCTTATTGAACTCCCTGAGGATGGCTCCAAAATCCTTCCCCTCCATGTAACCCATACCAAGGAAGAATGTGATGGCAAAGAAAGGAGCAGCAATAAACTGGTCAGACAATATTTTCTTTGCAATGGTTTTCAGGTCTTTTCCACGGAAGACCTTGTCCAGCCAAGTGTACCAATAGTGATGTGGAGGACCTTGAAGCAGACCAACCACAAACATCCTCCCTACAGGAAAGAAACTACTTTTTACACTTTCCTGATGGTTAAAATTGTTTTGAGGCATGTAGTTATGGATAGTGTGAGACTCACATGTCCTCATGGTGTCATACCGCCTCCCTTTGTGGTACCCCTGATATCTCTCGAACACTTGTTGGATGACGTCGCCACTGCCAAGCAAGACACCTCCACTGACCGTGTTTGTGATCAATAGGTGTTTAGTAAACATATTGTCCTTGAAGTTTTTTACCATTTTCACAAAGTGGCGTATGTTTCTCATTCTCGACCTCTGTATTCTAGGCACACGACAATTTATGTTGTCTTCGGTTAAGATACCATTTGGTTGAAAATATTATGAGATAAATTCCGTCATCATCGAAGTTTCTGCGCAACATCCAATGCTGGCCTAGACCTAAACATGATGGCCTAAAACGACACACGATATGGAATATCTTATCTACGTAGCCCAACGCTTTGTGGACAAAGACCCCGAGTTACAGAGCCATAAAGAATGGCCCAACAGGTCCAGATATATGTAATAATACCCAAAATTACTTTGTCACTCTCCGGAATGCTAATTCATAGCTCTCTGTAGGGAACCATGATGTTCCAGGAGGTTGCCGGCCGTCGACCAATCACATCCTAACATTAAGCAGAGAACGTCGACTGCTAACCAATCGGATTCTGACTTTCACTTAGTGTCGACTGCCGCTCCATTCTGCAGTGGCTGAACACATATCAGCTGACTGGGACACCTAGCACGTGGTCTGGGTGTGCGAGTGTTCAAATAGTCCAGGCAAGGCCTAACCAGCTTAGCAGGGAACTCGACCTTTCTTCACTCCTCAATGACTGCTCACAACACGGGATTGTAGCTATGGTCATATAATCTGCTTAGACGTAGCAGCTGGGAGCTCATCTTCCACGAGATAGCATGTCCCATGAACACTGATATGTCCAGTAAGGCCTTTCTTTGTCTCAACCCAATGGCGTATTTTACAGGGGGGCAGGGGGGGCAGCCGCCTCCCCTGGCGCCCATAGGACAGAGCCTGGAGGAAATAATTATCTCACCTGATATCACTCGGGTGGGATTTGGCGCCCCCGCTCTGTTGCCTTGTCCCCCGACCCTTCAGCCAAAATACGCCACTGTCTCAACCTATTAGGATGCCCATTATCTCTCTGTCGTGAACAGCGCCGTACCGAGGATACTTGGCTCCCTCTGCGAAATATCAGTCCAGCAACCCCCCCCCCCCCTCTGCACCTCTCCAGCTTCCACAGTACCAACGTACCAACAATACATTACGTATTAATTTCTGTTTAATTTAGTTATATTCAGGATAATTTTTTTTTTTAGTTTTATTTATACTTTGCTATAATCCGGCAGCCAATCGGCGCCCCCCTCAGTTCGGCGCCCTGTGCGGGGCCACCGCTCGCACACCCCTTACTACGGCACTGGTCGTGAATGTCATCCCAACTTTGATTAGCTCTTCTTTCTCTTTCCACATCGGAATTTACAGAATCGCAGTAAAAAAAAAATTTTACCTCTTTTCTCAGAGCAGTGGTGTAGCAAAAGAGGGGGGGGGTCTTCTGCCTCCCTAAGTTTCGTTCGAGTCCTTCCAACTCAGGTCAAAATGCATTTCCCCCCCCCCCCCCAATATCAAGGTAGGTTAGTGGTATCAGGAGGCGATAACGCCCATTTGAATACCATGTGTACATTGCCCCCTTGTTGCTTGGTCCAGAAAAGCATCTAAGTCTCTTCTTTACCTCTTTCAGACCTGAATTAAGGCCAACATCGGAATAATATACTTTTTTGCATTTTTAGCTCTTTTCCTATTCTAATTAAAATTTTTATTTTCCACATATCGTTTTTATATTTTGAATACATTTACCATATCATACAATATATTATATATGATCAATGACATAACTGAAGAGTACAAAACTGACGGGTGAGAGAAGGCCTCCGACGGAATCGAGCCGTGCATAATTGAGTCCATTTTAGCGCAATATGGAGCGGCAAAGTCACGAGAATCCCAAGAAATTACCATAGGAACATCGAAAATGCAACGTCCGTTGGAATGGACGCGGGGTCCGAAAATATTAAAATCCTGAAGGAAAGGGCAGCCACTGCGTCGTCATCGTTCACCACCCCACAGGTAAAGAAGTCTCGACCCGAGCCGCACCTGCGGTTTGTGTATGGGAAGCGCTTGCCCCATTGGCTACGACGAGGTCTCTAGGTGGGGGGGGGGAATGGAGGCAAGCGAGATGCACTTTATGATGGACGTGAGGGAAGTCATATTGGTCTGCATATATGTTTTTATTAATTATTATTATTATTTATTTATTTTATTATTATTATTAATTATTATTATTATTATTATAATATATATTTTTATTATTTTTTTTTTTGGAGGGGGGGGGTATTGGTCTGTAAGGGGGGGTTCTGAGAATGGAATGCGCTGAAAAAATGTGGGAAATGTACATGATGAGGCAAAAAAAGACAAAACTACTTTTCAACCTATCTCCGTTCGCAACAGAGCTATTTTTGCGAAACTTTCACTTTCTACATCAATAGGCTATTACCTTTCTTCAACCCCTTCCCGCAGCGAAATGCAACCGCCTCGTATTCCTCTCACACCACAGAATCGCTCCAGCAAAATTGAAGCTCCATATCCCAGGTGTTGTGAAGAAAACCGAATCTCGCTTTTGGGGGATGTGAATTTCATTCCGTTTCTCTCTCCCCCCCCCCCCCCCCCCCCCCCCCCCGGGGGGGGGGGGGGGGGGGGGGGGGGGGGTGCTGCGTTGCCAAGTTTGCGCTGGGTTGCCAGGTCTTCCACACTCCTTTCGTCTCGACGAGGTGGAATGGCGCAAATGTTTTTTTTTTTTTTTTTAGGCCGCACATGTTCCTCATTTCCTTTGGGTCGCCGCCGAGGCTTCGCTGCCTCTCGACTTCTCTCAGGCAGTGATTGATAGGGTTCGTGCAGTTGGGGTCGCGGTTCATTGTTCGATTTCGTTGCCATTTTGTGCGTGTGGCACAGAAAATAATGTTAAATGCTTTGGAATGGCACATTTATGTAGTTGTGGAGTATACTACATGGCAACATACTTTTTTCTTTAATAGCGAAATATATTCAAGAACTTCAATCATCATATATATGTTTTAATGTCGTCTTGGCGTAACCCAGTTGTCAGAACCTAATTTCTCGGGGTGCCTTTTAAGTTTTACGGGGGGAAAGGGGCAAGAGCGGGGGCGAAGGGAGGCCAATGGAGGAATCTTAGCGCCCCCTGCTGGGGCCGCTCCGCCTGCGAGAGTCGAGGGGCGTGACTGGGAGGAGGGGGAGGAGGTTCTCCTTCCTCACGTGTCGGTTGAAAGACGTCAAGTTATCGGGAAGAAATCTCTGGGAGCCGTTGGAGCCATTCTTAGTTGACGCTGGATGGGAGGTGAGAGGCATCCTCTGGCCCGTGGGCGGTGGGGGGAGGTCGGCGCCGCCGGGTGCGTTGCGCATGCGCGGGGGAATGCTGGGAGATGTAAGGATGAAGTCTTGCGCGTGTGATGACGTCAGCGAGCCGTTCCACAATAAAAGTGGGCGCTTTGGCCTGGATGTTTCATTGACTCGCTGGTGAAGGCCGAGACGGGTTTGGGGGCGCGCTCTTGTCGCTCGCAGCCGTGATGAAGGCTGCTCGCGTTTGTCAACTAGGCAGCGTTGTACACGCGTTGCTGGTCTGTTCCTTGATTTCGATTGTGTTTTTTTTTAGGTTCCATGGATTTTTCGTCCGCGCTCTTAGTGGCGGATTGTTATGAAGGACTGTGGCCGGGTTTGCGCGGTCGCAGCCTGTAAGGAAACTTGTAGGGATCGGTAGGCAGGGGAATATTTCCTTTGCGAATTTCCAAAATCTCTAGGCAGGAAAAATGAATGGCTTCAATCGCTTAATGGCTTCAATTGCTTAATGGCTTCAATTGCTTAATGGCTTCAATTGCTTAATGGCTTCAATCGCTTGGAAAGAACATCTAACACCAGGTAATGTTCCGGCTGAGAATCTGGCCCTAATGGAAAAAAAATGACATGAAATCATTGAAGACCGTGAATTGTTTCGAGGCTGAAGAGAGCACAGGAGATGCTGAGGAAAATTTCTTTTCGCTCAGGTGATGCAAAAAAAAAGGAACTGTTGTCGATAAGTTATATAATGCGAGTATCCGCGTTGGCAATGAGGATCTTCATGCCTGCCGGAACTCTTTTGGACCTGAACAGTGAGGGAAATGCAGTGGGGATGAGCCGGGATTGTCAGGGATTGAGGATTTTCGGCGTTGAGAGGGGGGGGGGGGGGTGTCTCCCGCGTCTTCGAGCTGTTTCGACGCCGCGGGTAGAGAGCTGNGGGGGGGGGGGGGGGGGGGGGTGTCTCCCGCGTCTTCGAGCTGTTTCGACGCCGCGGGTAGAGAGCTGCGCGGGCGTGCGAGTTTTGGGCTGGATGCGGTTTTGCGTGGAGGGAGTCGTCAGACCGACACTTTTTTTTTTCGATGGAGATGCCTTCTCGCTCAGGCTTCGGTTTTCGCCTTGCTCTCGCACGATTAGCAGTCTGCGCTGCTGCCGACACGGTTTTTTTTTTTTTGTTTAGCTCATTAGCTCTGCCCATTAATTTGTGCTGATCCGAGGATGATTCGTTTTGCTTTGCAGTGGAGGAGGGGACGAAGGAGATCGTCCGGAAGGCGGCCTCCGCCGTCGGATCCCTGAAGGAGACGGAGTTCGACATCCGGTTCAACCCGGACGTGTACTCGCCCGGCGTGCGGCACCACTGCCGGGACCGGCTGCGGCGGGAGCGCCAGCTGGTGAAGGACGCGGCGGACTTCCTCATCACCATCCAGATCCCCAGCTTTGTGAGTTTGCTGAAATTAATTAGAAAAATTAATTAAGAAATTAATAAAATATTAATATAATATACAAATAAATTAAGCGTTGCACTTTTGACTGGAAGTCTGCTTGTGCTCTGAACCTGTGTTCTCTGAAAAAAAAAAGGTTAGAGAAATTTCTGGACGTGATTTCGGGATAACATGCTGGGCGTGACAATTATTATTATTATTTATTATTATTATTATTTATTATTATTATTATTTATTATATCGGTGTCTTAGTCAAGTGAAAAATTGTCTAACTGAAGTGAAAAACACTAGGCTTAGAGCGCTTGCTCCGGTACCGTCCCCCAGTGTTGCCGGATACCGTGCCGAAATCGCGCCAGATTCAAGAGTGTTTCAACGTTCGTATTGGCGTCTGGATATTATATATTTTTTATGTATGAGATATTTTTGTGCTGAGTTGATGAGTTGAGCTGAGAATGAAGCGGTAATTAGCAATTATTGATCGGTGTGGTGGGATATGCAGTTATCTTATACTGACATCCCTGAATTGACAGGACGGCGCGCGCCATGGATTGCAAGTTTCTGGAAGGCACTCTCTCCTCAGACCTATTCGAGATGGTTCGAGGCGTCCTAACGTTACACGTCCTCAACCAGATGTCTCGAAGACCACCATTCACGCTCATAGGCCTAATTGACGCCGTAAGTCGTGGATTGAGTTTCTTTTTAAGGAAAAAGGTAGGCCTCGGCGTGACCTAAAGGCAGTCTGTTGGTTAGGCCTAGGCCTAACATTACTGAGTCCCGGAGAGAGGGGGTTGAAGAAAGGGGAAGCCATCGGAAAATGATTTTCACATTGTTACACATGAGTTTGTTTCCAACTGATCCTTAAGAGTTCACCCAAATCACTTAGGCCAAAGTTATATTAAAAACAATTATTGAAAAAAAGTTAGAGATTGAGAATGAACGAGTACTCCGGCCGGTAGGAGAGTGGAAGAAACACTCGAGCGCTATCACTCCTGGTCATCCCATTCATAAGACCTGATTGAATCTTGCAGATGGTTTTCGCGAGCTCATTCCCTATGAATAGTAGATGAATCAATGAACCTAGAGTTTCCTCAACGGTCGTTTACAATTTCCCTAGCTTTTCGTCAACCTACAGGGTATAACCAAATAGACAAAGAACTTCGTGTGCATGACTTGATTTCTTTTAATCATACCTCACCTAACTTACTGAGGCTGAGGATGTCGCAAGTCATACCATCTGGGCTAGCCATTTTTAAATTTTTATTTCCTCATCCAGGATTCATGCTTCTGTATGCGGTCACTTGCCCTTACCTGCGTGTACCTGTTTTCGTCTCGACACGTGGCCGCCGTGATCGTCGGCACGGTGACCACCCTGCTCCTGCTGCCCTCGTGATATGCCATCCACACGGATGACCTCCAACCGTGGGTGTCCTGGCTGGCATATGCCTCCGAGCAAGTGGATGTATCAGGAGGTGGTCGTCGAGGAGCTCAGGTCCATCGACGAGTTCAAATGCAGCACCAACCCACCGACTAAGCAAGAGGATATCATTTATCAGGTGATGAAAATACTATGTTTATTGTCATGTAATAAGTATGTATCACAACGAATGAATATGTGGCCCACAGTTGCCCTGCGGCGTGCAGAAGGGACAGCAGGCCCTGTCCTACATGGCGTTCAACACGAAACAAGAGCTTATTTTGCCCCTGCTCGTCACGGGAGGATTTCTCGTCGCATGCCATATCCTCAGCATTTTCTTCTTTCTAGCCAAAACCCAACTCCCCAAGCGATCTCGCTCCAAGTTGGAGCGCATGTAATCAAAACTCACTGTCCTTGTCACGAATCCATTTTGGTTCCCCATTGTCGTTTATTCCGTGCTTGTGGTTTCATCTGTTGTATTAATTACCTACTCGTAATCTGGGGACTGGGTATTGAGGTTTCCCCCTCGCTCGGCTGGAACGCGTCTCGCGGGAAGAACTTGTCGTTGAGCATCGGGATCGCGGCCGAGTAGATCCCGTCCGGGCGGATGTTCACCCCGAATCCCCCCTGCAGGTGGTGCTTCCCGAGGGATGACCACGTTCCGGAAGTCCGGATCGCTCTTGCTCCGTTGGTGGCGGTAACGCGGGTCGCGCGGGACGATCGGACTCCCGTCGTCGCTCGAGTCGTAGCCGCTACTCGCGGCGCGGTTCGACGCCGACGGCGGAAACACCCGCGGCAGCCCGAACTTGAGGTACGTGAACATGTTGTTCCCGAGCTCCGACTTGGGCCCATACCGCGGATTGGAGAGGATGCTCGCGATCGTCGCCTCCCGAAGCTGAAAATTCCCGAACGCAATGGCGACTTCTCGCTCGATCCCGACATGGAAAACGTGAATTCCGACGTTAGATTCTGACGGTAAATGCTCCATGCGTGCAGATCCTCAGTCGCGGAACTCCGCGATCGTCTCCGCGTGCTGACACTTACCAGCGTGAAGATGCAGATTTCGTTGCAACCTGTGCATCTCTTGGACCCACACCCCATCCATACGGAAAGGCTATGGAGAATACTGTCGGGATTGGAAGACATTCCTTGTAGGTCACTCTACAAAGAATCCTTGGTGTGCATCAATGAACCTTTCCTTCTTCAATGGAAAAACTGGTTCATCACATTTAGCTTCCATGATGAGCTTGATTCTCCCAAATCACACAGATAGGTTCAGCGTCATGGCAGTTTACCCTTGGATTGCAAGCCAATTCTTGTTCTGTCGTCATGGAGCTCTTGTTTTCCATGGTCGTTTTATGAAGGCAAACATAGAAATCCAGGCTCATCACATTTAATTCCCACAATGAGCCTGATTTTCCCAGATCACATAAATTCATTACAGTGTAGAAAGTCAGAGACTCAACACTGTCATACAAATGGGCTGTCCATGAGGGGCAGCGCTCCAGTGTATCCTCCACTCCACTACCGGCTGGAGCACTTCTATATCTCTAACTTCTTTTCAATAATTGCTGGTAATACATAATTATAGCATAAGTTATTTATGTGAACATTTATGTATCAGTTGGAAACACTCATACATGCAAGGTGAAAGCATAGCAGAAATAGCTCTGTTGTGAGCGGAGATATTTAGGTTAAAAGTATTTTTGTCTACTCCTGCATTCAGAAATTCAGGCTCATCACATATATTTCCCACAATGAGCCTGATTCTGCCAGAAAATCTCACAGATTCGTTCACCCTCATCACAGTGTAGAAAATCAGAGACGAGCTTTCTTCATGCAAGATGTGAAAATTCATGCAAATGACTTGATGTATATTAAACTTTATTTCATCAATTCATACAACAGATGAAACCACAGGCACAGAATGGACAAAATGGATTCGTGACAAGGACAGTGAGTTTTGATTACATGCGCTCCAACTTGGAGCGAGATCGCTTGGGGAGTTGGGTTTTGGCTAGAAAGAAGAAAATGCTGAGGATATGGCATGCGACGAGAAATCCTCCCGTGACGAGCAGGGGCAAAATAAGCTCTTGTTTCGTGTTGAACGCCATGAAGGACAGGGCCTGCCGTCCCGTCTGCACGCCGCAGGGCAACTGTGAGCCACATATTCATTTGTTGTGATACATACTTATTACATGCCACTAAACTTTGTACTTTCATCATCACTGGAAAGAACAAAAAAGAATGGTGAGCATGGTTCACCTGATAAATGATATCCTCTTGCTTAGTCGGTGGGTTGGTGCTGCACTTGAACTCGTCGATGGACCTGAGTTCCTCGACGACCACCTCCTGATACATCCATTTGCTTGGAGAGGCATATGCCAGCCAGGACACCCACGGTTGGAGGTCGTCCGTGTGGATGGCATATCCTGAGGGCAGCAGGAGCAGGGTGGTCACTGTTCCGACGATCACAGCAGCCACGTGTCGAGACGAAAACAGGTACACACAGGCCAGGGCAAGTGACCGCACCGTGTACAGATACAGGAGCATGAATCCTAGATGGAGAAATGAAAAACAAAATGGTTATCTCAGGTGGTACAACTTGGTGATGGAATCGTGGACGGTTCCAACTCACCCAGGTATAAAAGAAAAGTATTTGCTCCTTGGGAGCCCTGAAGCCCAGACAGGGCATATGCGGGAATGAGATAGGCCAAAAACACACCAAAGGCAGCCGGTGTGCTGTAAAGCATCTGAAAACGAACGGAAGAAAAGGAGTATGAATCGGTCGTCGAAAGCCTGTCGAGCACCGGTTCCAGTCTTCTCCAAATCAGTGTTACATGTGTACCTTGCAGAAGATAAAGTTGACCTTGGAGTAGAGGCCATCAGAGACATCCCTCGTGATCGGAGCCTTCTCGCTCCATGCATCCGACAGATCCAGCAAGATGCTCGGCCAGATCCCCAACCCCATCATCAGATAGTGGAAACCCAGCCGATCGTTCACGTGCATCTGCTCTTGCTGAAAAATCGCAAGCATTCTTTCCACAGTTACATCTGGTTCTTGGGAACCGACACCTTAGAGGCACGAAGTCGTCTTCGTAAATACCCTGGAATCGGTTCGCGTGTCGAACCAGATGGTCCCGATGCAGAGTGAGAGTATCGCCGCGAGGAGTACCCGAAATGCCCAGGCGATCACATTGTTCGGAAAGGTATACACCATGGCACGCCTGCAACAGGATGCAGTCCCCTCAACCTTCGCTCGTGTGATTTTTACGGGATGACGAACGGGTTCTCGAGGGTCAACAAAAACAGGTTCTTACACCCAGAGAGCGAGGAACTCCGTCATGCAACCGGCAGAATGGACCTTCGGAGGCAGGACTCCCGGTGGACCAGGGTCGGACAGGGGCTCCTGGCGCCTCTTGAAGATCTCGGCCAGCTGCTTCACCCGCTGACTCGATTCCAGCATGGCTTCCGCCGAGAGGTCGTCCAAGGTCACCAGGTCGACTGCATCGCAGGAAAAAAAAGAAGTAAACTCAAGTTTTTTTTTCTTTTTTTTTCTACCCAGCGAATGAATGGTCCACCCACGGTAATAGTCTGCAGGATTCTTATAGGCCGGGCACGGATACTCGATGAAAGCAAAGTACGGCAGCATCTCCCTCCTCTTCCCACAGTACATGAGCCTCCCCGTCGACAGCAGTGCCACCCGCGAAACCATCGTGAAGATCTCGTAGGTCGGCGGGTTCAACGTCGTCACCACGATCCTTCCCCTCAGCGCCCACTGTCGCAGGTACTCCACGAGGAAGAACGTGTCGAAGATGTCCATCCCCTTCGTCGGCTGGTCCAGGAAGATGAGGTCCGTCTCCAGCAGCAGGTGGCAGGCGACGTTCAGCCGCAGCTTCTCCGACAGGGTGAGATCGTGGACGCGGGTGTGCCGCACCTGGGACAGCCCCAGGTCCTCGATCAAGGCGTTGATCTGGGAAGAATGGGCAATCGTGACCCTCTTTGCCGCTGATATCGCGAATCGCACGGTAATCATCCGCTGCGTCGGGCATGTGTCGAACTTTGCCACGCCGGCATGAGCACCGTGCCTCCCGGGCCCTCGAATCAGCGATTCGAAGCGCATGATTCCATCGCTTAAATCAAAACGGCGACTCATGACGCGAATGATTTTCACCGACGATTTACGGCTCACGACTCTCCCGCATCGAACCGGTCGAAAGAAGTGGGGAAAAAATATGATCATAAATAACTCCCTCACCCTTCCCTTCGTGTCCGTGTCCCTCGCCGCGTTGCCCGGCTCCCTGAGGAACGCGTGAAACAGCAGCGTCTGCCTCACGCTCATGTTCGGCTGAAAGTCCTGGTTCTGCTGCACGTACGCCACGCGATGCCTCAGCTTCCTCGCCTGCAGGTGGGACCCGTTCACGATGATCTCGCCCCGGAGCCCCCCCGCCCGGTTCCAGAACCCTCCGGTCCCGGCCAGCATGTCCAACATGGCCGTGCCTTCCAGTTCTGACGGTGAGAACATTCATACCTTTTACTCGTCGATGTTCATATTTCTTCACCTATATTTCCTCCGTTAAATTTCTAGTTTATTACTTCTTGTGATGTATTCCTTCTTTCGATATTATTGTTGGACGTGTGCATTCTGAAGGAATTTTCCTTCTTTGAAGAAAAATTCCTTCCTCCTTTTGAAGAAGCAAAAGAACTTCATCGTAACAATAATAAACTGACTTTTTAACACTTTAAATTTGAATAAAATTTGCAGTATAATAGGGGAACTTCCGGGTGTGGCAAAAGAATATCGACCAATGACTTTTTGAACTGCACATCTTTGCTCACAAGAGAGCGTCTTTCGTGAAACTTTCACCTTCAATACATGGAATACGTTTCCGACGGGTTCTTAAATTTTCTCCTGACTTTGTTGCACCAACGTCATACCATCAGCAAATATTGCAAAGTTACACCTCGAGAAGGAACAAGGTCTGCTGAAGGATTTGAGGAAACACCTCCATGATGTCCTTCTTGGTCTTCAACACCACGCCAAGCTCCTCTTCCGTATTGTTTTCACCGCTATTCTTTAGGCTGATAGGCTGTCTCTTGCAGATGGTTTTCATGAGCTTATCCCCGATGAAAAGCAGAGGAATCGATGTATTAATATCTCAGTCTAGAAGTCTTCCTCCAAGTTCATTCGGGATTTTCCTTGGTCTTTCTTAAAGGAACTGGCCATATCATCAGACTTGTCTTATACATACTATTGTTCATAACTTTCATTTGAAGTAATATACAATTTTGCAGTCTTTTTAACTTTCAAACTAGAAAGTACCAGCCCAGGTACAGATCTGGCATTCCACTGGCCCCTGTACCACTGGAATTATTATATATATATATTCACTGCATCCTAACTATCCAACCTTGAAACAAATAATAGCTGTCATTCGTTCGGCGTAGGCCTATATGAAAAGGCCTGGGGCCTGTTTCATGGAATTTACAAGCTCTACAAGTTACAAGTACTTTCAAGGGTCGTGTCTTCTTGTTTAACTCTTCTAGCTGCTCCTGCTCGCCCTGCGCACGACTACGACACAACCCTTGTAATTACTTGTAACTTGCAGAACTTATAAATTCCATGAAATAGGACAACTAGTCCGCGCCGCGTGGAGACGGGAGGAAGATGTGAAGTGTAAGATGCCAGATACGGCATTTCACGCGTACGCCTAGCAACCCTGTCTACACGGCCGGCAGCTGCTCTCTTCCATCCTCTACCATGGATCCGTCAACCGCCAGGGATGGAAGGGAAGTGGATGTTTTCGTGGAAGACGGGCACCCCGACCCAGGCGAAAAGCTGCCAGTTTCTGAAGGATTCTGCCTTATTCAGCATGAAGTAAGCTACCACGACGAGATAGGGACAGTTAAGGACAAAGAACATGAACGGGCATTGCGAAGGTTCAAGGCTCCGGCACGTGCGTGGAGACC